TCGTGCACAGATCTAGCTGTTTTCGACCAAATCGAAGGCCGGAAATGATCAGATCCCCTGCCGTGATTTGGCTATTTTTGCCTTCGATCTGGTCGAAAACAGCTAGATTACTACTAGATCTGGCAGTTTTTTGCCATGGATCCGACCATGGAAACGACCTTATCGACGCACAACTAGTCAGATCTGACCGATCGTGTGCCATTTTGACGACTGTCGACAGTGTCAGCGGTGGCGGCTGACTACTAGCAGTGGCTTGGGGTGGGTGGGGGTGATTTTGCTATAAATTAAAGTTTTATATGGCTTGAGTATTTTAGCAAAATTTCAAATGTAGAGGTTTAAAAGAAATGATTAAAAAAATAATAATAATATTATTATATTAATATTTAAAAATGAGAGTAATTTAATAATATATATAACATACACATTCATTTATCTCCCAACCAAACATATCAATATAATATATCCATCAATTTATTCCAACCTAACCAAACACATTTTCCTAAACATTCTTAGTAATCTTCAAAGTAATCTATATTTCAATTAATATAATATTCCCAATAATACAATATTCTCTGAATCAAACGCACCTATAAGGGTAAGATTTTAAAACAATTCTCATTGAACTAAAAAAACTAGATAAAGATGATATTAGTGTGGGTTCTCCAAATTTTCTTTTGATCGTTNAGGGTGGAGTTAGAGTGTTGTAAAACATGGAGTGTTTTACATTTGTTTACTTAAATTCAACTTTGTAATTGACTTGCAAGTGTTTGATATAGTAGATTTGCTTCGTCTAGACTTGGTCCCACGGATGTAGGCTGTTAGCCGAACCATGTAAAAATTATTTTATGCTTTAGTTTATGTCTTTGATGATTTGTATTATGTTGATGATGAATGGCTATTCCCACAAGCACTAATGAACTCAATCAACTTATTTCACAAGAGTTTAATGAACCAGATTAGTTGTAAACTTTCACATGCACTCTACATAAAATAAATGCTTTAACATTACAAAGATCAACTCTTTATCTGCCTAAATTTTCTATAATCTCTCTTGACATATAATAAGTTTTATATATGTTAGTGAATGTGTTTGGACTGGGAGTGTTCAAGTTAATGAAAGGTTTTTAGTGCATAGGGTGCGTTTGGTTCGGGGTCATATAAGATTACTCTGGTAATCTTCATTTAATTTTTAGGATTCTCTTGTTTGGTTTGCAAGTAATAAAATATTACAATAATCTTTTGTTGTAAATAGTGTTTACTGTCGGAAATATAGAGAGTAATCATATTACCTTGCCAATGGATGTTATTAAAAGATTACTGAGGTAATGTGAATTTTATATCTATTTTGCCCTTACTTAAATATTATTTTCAACACAATTGTCCTTAAATGTCTACCAAATAACCATTAGCCCAGATCCCCTATATTTGAGAATTTAGCTAAAACACCCCAATTACAAAAAAATTTAAAAGTTAACAAAATATCCCCATCCACCCAAGATCACCGTCGACGGTAGTAGCCATTTTGGCATACGGCCGGCTTTTAGACACGATTAGCGAGATCTGGCTGATCGTACATAGATCTGGCTGTTTCCGGCCAAATCGAAGGCCGAAAAGGATCAGATCCTCTGCCTTGATTTGACTATTTTTGGCCTTCGATCTGGTCGAAAACAGCTAGATCACAACTAGATCTGGCCGTTTTTTGCCATGGATCCGACCATGGAAACAACCTTATCGACACACAACTAGCCAGATTCGACCAGTCGTGTGCTATTCTGATGACTGTCGATAGTGCCAACAGTGGTGGCTGGCTACTAATAGTGGTTTGGGGTGGGTGGGGGTGATTTTACTATAAATTAAAGTTTTATATGGCTTTAGTGTTTTAGCAAAATTTCAAATGTAGAAGTTTAAAAGAAATGATTATATATATATATATATATATTTAAAAAAGAGAGTAATTTAATAATCTATATAACATACACACTCATTTACCTCCCACCAAATATATTAATATAGCATACTCATCAATTTATTCTAACCTAACCAAACACATTTCCCTAAACATTCTTAGTAATCTTCAAGGTAATCTATCTTTCCATTAATATAATATTACCAGTAATACAATATTCTCTGAACCAAACGCACCCATAAGAGTAAGATTTTAAAACAATTCTCATTGAACTAAAAAAACTAGATAAAGATGATACTAGTGTGGGTTCTTCAAATTTTCTTTTGATCATTCCTCCAAAGAGGTTTTGCTACAAAAAGATAAAAGCATCAAGAGTGCTAATAGGAATTCGAAAATGATAGAGCCACCGAAGATTGTACACCGAATCTGTGCACCAAATGACGTGACAAAATCCTGACCGTTGATTAATATTAACTGATAATGAATCAACGGTCATGATTTTGTCACGTCATTCGGTGCACAGATTCAGTGCACAACCTTCGGTGGCTGTAGCATTACTCATATGAATTATTGATTACCGACAAAAATCTTCAAGTCAGTTTCTTGAACAAAATATATAATCAGAGAAGCTCTCGAACTAGGGAAAACACTTTAGTGAGAGAAGTTAAAGGTAATTTATGTCTTTAAAATATCAATTCATCGATATTGAACGGGTTATGAATTAATGCTGTAAAATTTAACTCAAAAACTAAAATTGATATAGTTTTACCCCATTAATTTTTGTTTGATCAAAATTTTTAATAAATCTGAAAACTTTTGCACAACTTGAGAATAAATCAAACTTGTTATGAAAGAAAAACAAAAATAGATGTGAATCATATTAAAAGTAGTTCACATGTTGCGTAAAGTCATTCAAAATTCACATCAAAATAGAGCACGAGACAGTGAAATTGGTAGAATGGGGCCAAAATATAGAAGAAAAAGAAGTAAATGATGATAGAAAAATAAAAAAGGCAAAAATAGAAAGAAATTTGAAGTAGAGGGAAGGGCTAGATAAAGCCAACTTTGGGGGCAAGAGAGACAGAATGATTTTATGATTTATAAATTTCATGCAACAGTGCTTCTCATTCTTATTTTTTCTGAATTACATGATTCACAGCCAATCATCAAAAGCATTATTATTCCTCTTCTTCGGTAAGAGAGAAATATATATATATATTTTTTTTTTTAAAAGAAAAAGCAAAACTACAGTTCCCAATTCCCTTCAAACAGACAGCCAGTCTTCTCTCTTTTCAGCTCTTTGTAACTTTATCTTTTTCATTTTTTTTTTTTTCTCTTTTCATCATCTGGTTTTTATCTTCTTTTTTCTCTCAAAACTCTATCCTACGGATTTGAGCTCTAAATTAACTCACTACTCACTACTTTCTTCAGTGTTATTAAAACCTAAGTATACATTTTATACGTGAAACTATTGAACAAAGAAGGAATTCACGACGCAACACAGTTATCACCTTATTTGTATATCTAACTAATAAATTTAATTATATTATATGTACATCGGGAGACTATGTTTTTTTTTTTTTGGATGATCCGAAGTGTTTGGACCAATTTACGCATACCTCAATTAATCTCTCGGGATCCTGAAGTGAATGATCGGGTAAATCTCCTCAATGGCCAATCTTACTAGCTAGTGCTTAGGAGGACTCGAACTCAAGAATTCATGTTGAACCCCTTCACTTTTGTACCATCAAGTTACCTAGTGATGGTTAGACCATGTTAAATTCTCATCTCTCTAAAGGACTCCTTATAAGACTCAAACTCTTTATTATAAAGAGTTTGTCTATAAAAACAAGAATCCAACAGACTTTTTATTCTTTAAATATAAATTAAAGATTGAATTTAACTCTCTACATCTAGAAAGTCAAATTTCACTCTCTATCCCAATTTTATTTAATAAATTACAAGTTTCTATACATTTTATTATTAATTCTCTCTCATATTAAGTCTCTCTTCTATTTATTACGTCTAATTTAAAGAGTCCATTAGATTTGAATACAAATTTTTATATTTACAAATTAATGAAGATGCTCTTTATTTATGTGAAATATGCTCATTAAAATAAAAGGTACCATTGGAGATGCTCTTACTCTTTTATCATAAAGGACTCGAATTTGAAAAAGCATGTTAGATCCTCCTCTATTCTTTCACCATCAAGTCACCCAATGGTGGTTTACAGTAATTTTTTTACTTGTTCATCCATTTTACCTTTCCAACTAATAGAATAGAGAGTACATTATCTTATTAACCAATAAAAAATTTATCATATTTACACATTAAAAGATGTATATATATATATATCTTTTTATGAATGAAATAATTTTTTTTTATGGTTTTTAGGATACATGTTAAGATAACTTTATAAATAGTTATTTTAAAAGTAAATTAACTTTAAAATTTGAAATAACTGTAGTCAAATAATTTAAGAGTTTTTGATGTGACAACACTCTCACACTATTGAATTGCCGTATATAAATGATCAATATTTAAGTTGAAATTTTAAGTTATTGTATCAAACCCATATCTATTATACAGATTGTTATATGGGTAACACAAATATCCCATTATATAATATAGTTTTTTTTTTTTTTCTCAATACAGAAAGACACTAACAATTTCTTGGATTATCTTTTGCGAGTGTGTACAATTCACGTTACCAATACGTACATAAAATACTATAGAGAAAAAAAGAAAGAAAAAGAAAAGTGATTATTCCGTTCATAGTGCTTAATGCTTGGAAGTGCTTTTGAAAATAAGTAATTTAAAAACTTCAAATATTGAGAGACACCAACTTTTAATCATCCACACACCTTTATATCAGATGATGCAAGAGACAGAATAGAAAGAAAAGAAAGAGAAAGCCAAAGCCAAAGCCAAAGTTAAAGCACATGCAAATCACTTTCTCTTTGCCATCACCCAACAATTTTTTTCTTCAATTCCTCTCTTAACAAGAAAAGCACAATTCCCCCACTTACATAAATCTCTCTTCACTCTTCACTCTTCTTCCTCACCAACTATTTCTTCATCTTCAGATGAAACCCTTCCACCTAAATTTCTAAGTATTTTCTACCAAGAAAAGAAAAAATTTTCCCTTCAATCATGAGAGCAGGGCTTTGCGCTGTGCCTCAGGCTCTAACCGCAGAGGCTGGTGGCATTGTGAAGCAAGCTGTGAGTCTCGCCAGGCGGCGAGGCCACGCTCAAGTCACGCCTCTTCATGTTGCTAGCGCGATGCTCGCTTCTCCTGCTGGTCTTCTTCGAAAAGCGTGTCTACAATCTCACTCTCACCCTCTTCAGTGCAAGGCATTAGAGCTTTGCTTTAATGTTGCACTCAATCGCCTCCCCGCCTCGACTTCCAGCCCTCTTTTGGGTCCTCACTCTCCTCGCCCTTCGCTTTCCAACGCCCTTGTGGCCGCCTTCAAGCGCGCACAGGCTCACCAGCGCCGGGGCTCTATCGAGAACCAGCAACAACCAATTTTAGCTTTGAAAATTGAGATAGAACAGCTCATTATCTCCATTTTAGACGATCCAAGTGTCAGTAGAGTCATGAGAGAAGCTGGTTTTTCCAGCAGTCAAGTCAAAACCAAGGTAGAAGAAGATGTTTCTTTAGATATTTGTTCTCCAAGTCCACCAGTCAGTAGCCTGCAGTCTAAGGAAAACACTAAACTTCCTCAAATTCTTGGTCCTAGCGTGTCTCAATCCTTATCTTTTTCTCAGTTTGGAGTCATGAAAACCATCAAAACTCTTCCGGATGAAGCTAGAAATGATGATGTGATGAGTGTTTTGTACACATTAGTTAACAAAAAAAGAAATACTCTGATTGTGGGGGGTTGTTTAGCTACTACCGAGGGAATAATTAGAGGGATTGTTGAGAAATTTGAGAGAGGACAAGTTCCTGGGGATTTGAGATATGCACAGTTTATTAGTCTTCCAGTTTTCTCTTTGAGGAATTCCTCNAAAAAAGAAAGAAAAAGAAAAGTGATTATTCCGTTCATAGTGCTTAATGCTTGGAAGTGCTTTTGAAAATAAGTAATTTAAAAACTTCAAATATTGAGAGACACCAACTTTTAATCATCCACACACCTTTATATCAGATGATGCAAGAGACAGAATAGAAAGAAAAGAAAGAGAAAGCCAAAGCCAAAGCCAAAGTTAAAGCACATGCAAATCACTTTCTCTTTGCCATCACCCAACAATTTTTTTCTTCAATTCCTCTCTTAACAAGAAAAGCACAATTCCCCCACTTACATAAATCTCTCTTCACTCTTCACTCTTCTTCCTCACCAACTATTTCTTCATCTTCTGATGAAACCCTTCCACCTAAATTTCTAAGTATTTTCTACCAAGAAAAGAAAAAATTTTCCCTTCAATCATGAGAGCAGGGCTTTGCGCTGTGCCTCAGGCTCTAACCGCAGAGGCTGGTGGCATTGTGAAGCAAGCTGTGAGTCTCGCCAGGCGGCGAGGCCACGCTCAAGTCACGCCTCTTCATGTTGCTAGCGCGATGCTCGCTTCTCCTGCTGGTCTTCTTCGAAAAGCGTGTCTACAATCTCACTCTCACCCTCTTCAGTGCAAGGCATTAGAGCTTTGCTTTAATGTTGCACTCAATCGCCTCCCCGCCTCGACTTCCAGCCCTCTTTTGGGTCCTCACTCTCCTCGCCCTTCGCTTTCCAACGCCCTTGTGGCCGCCTTCAAGCGCGCACAGGCTCACCAGCGCCGGGGCTCTATCGAGAACCAGCAACAACCAATTTTAGCTTTGAAAATTGAGATAGAACAGCTCATTATCTCCATTTTAGACGATCCAAGTGTCAGTAGAGTCATGAGAGAAGCTGGTTTTTCCAGCAGTCAAGTCAAAACCAAGGTAGAAGAAGATGTTTCTTTAGATATTTGTTCTCCAAGTCCACCAGTCAGTAGCCTGCAGTCTAAGGAAAACACTAAACTTCCTCAAATTCTTGGTCCTAGCATGTCTCAATCCTTATCTTTTTCTCAGTTTGGAGTCATGAAAACCATCAAAACTCTTCCGGATGAAGCTAGAAATGATGATGTGATGAGTGTTTTGTACACATTAGTTAACAAAAAAAGAAAAACTCTGATTGTGGGGGGTTGTTTAGCTACTAGCGAGGGAATAATTAGAGGGATTGTTGAGAAATTTGAGAGAGGGCAAGTTCCTGGGGACTTGAGATATGCACAGTTTATTAGTCTTCCAGTTTTCTCTTTGAGGAATTCCTCAAAGGAAGAGGTGGAACAGAAGCTGGTGGAGCTTAGGTGTCTTGTGAAAAGCTATATAGGTAGAGGGGTTGTTTTGTATTTAGGTGATCTCAAATGGGTGGCTGAGTTTTGGTCAACTTATGGTGAACAAAGAAGAAACTGCTATTCTTCTGTGGAGTTCATAATCATGGAGCTCAAAAGATTGGCGTGTGAAACCAGAGAAAGTGAAAGAGTTTGGCTTTTGGGGATAGCAACTTTTCAGACTTACATGAGATGCAAAACAGGCCATCCTTCTCTTGAAACCATGTGGGAATTTCATCCTTTAACTATTCCTGGTGGAAGCTTGAGTTTAAGCCTCAACCTTGAAAGGTAATTAAGATCAAAAGTACAATCATTTATATACTTTAGATGTTGATTTTTTTATTTTTTATTTTTTTGGCTTTTTATCTGATTACTTCTTTACTTAATTTCTCAGTGATTCGCCAAGAACAAAAGCACAGAGAGATGGATTTGCTTGGCCACTTTTTGAAGGTGGAGTTGATAATCATTTCTATTCAGGTTGCTCGCTCAGTTTCAACAGGGAAGCTCAAAAGAAAGACTCCGGCAACACCATCACTGTTGCCACTAACTCAACCTTGCCTTCATGGCTCCGGCAATACAAAGAAGAAAGCAGAAAAAACGCCATTACTGATCAGGTTTCTATCTCATCTCAACTATGCTAAACTAATAACTTCATCTCGTTTCTTTTCAAGCTGAAAACTAACTTTCTGTTCTTTTTTTTCAGGAATGTGTCGATAGTCCAGTCCAGAAACGCGCCAAGTATCCTGAGAAAGTCCTTGACTTTTCTTCCTCATCGCCTTCCTCCGTTTCAATCTCTTCGTGGCCACTCATTTCGGAGCCCAAACGGGTACCGAAAGAGCACCAGTTCTGGGTATCCGAAACCAGTGAAGAAGCGTACGAAAGTAGCTTGAGAAACCACCCCAAACCAGACCTTTTATCCAATCCCAACTCCAGCCCAAACTCAGCTTCTTCAAGCGAGCTTGCAGTAGAGGAAGACAACGATGGCCTCAACAGGTTCAAGGTTCTCAACGACGAGAACTTGAAGATCCTTTGTGACGCATTGGAGAGAAAAGTTCCATGGCAGATAGAAATAGTTCAAGAAATTGCAACTACCATTCTTCAATGCAGGTCGAAACAAAACAACTCGAAAGAGTGCTGCAGAGAGGGTAAAGAAGACACTTGGTTGTTGTTTTCAGGAGCTGATTCTCAGGCCAAAGAAAAGGTCGCCAGGGAGATAGCTAAAGTTGTTTTCGGCTCTCAAAATAACTTCACTTCAATCGGGCTGAGAAATTTCTCCTCTTCCAGGACCCAAACCAAAGGGCGAGAGATGATGGTGGCACGTATTTGGAGAGATTTGGGTTGGCGTTGAATGAGAATCCATCGCGTATTCTTCATGGAGATATCGAACAAGTAGATGATTTCTCTCAAAAGGGTCTTAAGCAAGCAATTGAAAGCGGGAACATAATTCTTCCTGGTTGTGAAATCGTTCCATTGAAAGACTCCAATCGTTTTCAGTTGCGATAACTTGAAGATCATGAGTACTTCAGTGTCGAAAGCAAGTTCCTCTCCAAGTAAAAAGCCAAAGGATGATCACCAAATTATGAGGACAGTGATAATAATAAGTTGAAGGAGAAAATCTCAAGTGTCTCACTGGACTTAAACATTGCCATTAACGTCGAAGATCATGATCACACTATGAAGAAACTGGTGACTAGTTAGACTTCTGAGTCTCTGATAGACTAATCGTTTCAAAATTCAAGAATTGTGATAGGGAGATCGACCAGCTCATGACATGAACTGCTTCATCATTTTCCATGGTCTTTTTTTTTTTTTTTTTTTTTTTTTGTGGGGATTTTTTGTTTTTGGATTAGAACAGTAGAAGTGTGGGGGAGGGGGTAAAGGAATTAATGCAAAACTAACAGGGGGCGGAAAAAAATTTGGTATACTTTAAAAAAAAAAAAATGCATGATTCATGGTGGGGGGTTACAGTAAATTTAGGTTTTTAGATGGATGTTCAGCAATGTGTATATTTAATCAGTGTAATCTTTGATGTTGCTGTTGCATTTGTAATATTAATTAATATTAGTTCTTTGCTTCTAATTATATTATTTATGCCTTATAATTAATTTCTTTCAGGTTTTTTAATTTATGATTTTGAAGAAAAGGTAACTGTACTCAACTAATTATTGCATGAAAATTAAGCAAAAATCTGTCATGTTCATCAGATCTTCTCCTTTTAAGACACAATCTTTCCTTTTCATTGCCTCAGTCTCAGTGATATTAATTCGAGAAAGATGAAGAAAAAGAATAAATTAAAGGGTTTATTTAGACCTTATTTACCATTTTGCATGTGCAAATATATGCTTTCCCATATAATTTTCAAGTTTAAAATCACATTCCTTATTTTTCTTATTTCATTTTAAATTCTAGAATATGAATATGAAGATAATTTTAATTAATAAATAACATATAATATCAACTTATGGTGACATACATATATTACACCGAAGATTTTCTCTTTGATTAGCATGAACATAATAGAGTTTCGGAGAAAAGTCTTTAATGGATGAGTATGTCACGTCATTTCGATCTATATTCAATTTAAAAAGTAGAATAATTAAAAAATAAAGAAGAAAAAATGATTTTCTTTTATTAGATAAAGTATGTAGAAGAAGATTTATATAGAGAGACATAATGATAATGTAATACGTCAATTTAATTGAAAAAAACTTTCTCAGATTTCAATGAAGGAATGGTAGCTCTTAGTTTCAACAAATTGGCCCACAAATGAATTCCACAATATAAACATCTTTTGTGAAAAATCAGTTTAAAACACTTAGAAAAACTTAGTGGACATCTAAAAAGTTGATGACGCTGAGGAGGTGAGTGTGAGATTCATAACGTAAGAGTTTTGCAAAGGAATAGATATTGGAATAATTAAAAACAAAAAAAAAACCCTTTGCTTTTGATGAATGAATACGTAAGTATAAAATTACTTAATTTTGGTATATATATTTATAATTTACAGCCTAACATTCTCATTCATCTTTGAAAAGTGCCGGCGGGGAAATGATGAAGAAGAATAAAAAAGAAAACAAGAAGAATATAATCTTTAGACTATATAAAGATGTTTGTTACTTTAGAATCACAAAAGGAACATCTTTAAAGCTTTAATATGGAACCATAACAATAATTAATTCAGATTATAGAATTTTTTAATGTGTTTACTTATCACCAATCTTAATCAGAGATCTTATGATTCTTCATCGAAATTCTCTTCTCAACTGACATATATTGTTCCATTACTTACTAAAATTATATAGATATGGGTCTTCAAACTAAAGAATTAATATAAATAAAAATTGTCTGAAGTAATACAATATTTTGCTATAGATCAATGTTATATTGTCATAGAGTTTTTCTTATGAGTGATTATCATTTTCTTTTATTTATTTATGGTTAGATATAGAGGTATACAAATGCTAAATAGGAGATGATGTGAGTGGTTCTAAAGACTCCAATACGAAAATATAAAAACTATTCATCTGCCGACCTAATTTTATTTAGAATTCAAGTCTTTACGTATAAAATAAAAGAATTGCTAAAATCAACAAACATGAGAGGAAGTTTTGTGCACAAAAAGTTTAGTAAATTTTTGTATTTTAGTAATTCTTTGTATAGAAAGTTTCAACTTCCAATATTTATATATAACAAGTGAACTAAAATTTCATTTTCAATTTAATCTAACATATAAAATATGTTCATTGCAATTTTCGGTTAACCAACCAATCCAACTAGAATATTCTTAGACCTAACTCATATTCTGCTCTTATTATAAAAAAAACAAATATAAAACAATCAAATTAAGCTAAAATTATATATATATATAATTCCCAAGAGATGAAAATGTTTGGGTTCGTCCTGTATATATTTTCAAATAATATATTGAAGTATTAACCATATATATTTTTGTGGGTTATATTTACTTACTGGCTTCATGCTATTTTTTATCAATCCGATTATTCATTTAATTTTTAGGTATCAATACTCTAGAATATGCTATAAAAACAATGAACTTGTAACATTCAAAAGTAACATTAAATAAAAAAATTTAATCATTATTACATGGCTATAATGTTGTATGTTACACGTAATTAATATTTTATTTTATAAGTCTATTAAATATTAAAAATAATTAATCAGTATAAGTATATTTTATTAATACTAGCCCTAACTATAGCCAAGTCCTAATTAAGAAGAGAAGGCCTCGAGCTTCGTTCCCATTAGAGAATGAAAAATGATTAGAAGAAAAATATTATAAACAGATAAATGTATGCATGGCTAATTAAGTTCTACTTTCCTTTTGCCAATTTTAAAAATAAAATATTCCAAAATGCTAAACTTAGTTGGTTTCGACTCCTAAAGCTAAGTTGCCTTTAATTTGATTAGGTTAATATTCTATAATCAAATAAATAATATTATGTTAATAATTAATTAGATGGATAAGCACAAACCCACCATTCGTTTTTGCTTTAGCCTCCGTCCGCCGCAAGTTATACAATAATTCCTGTTTAATAGCCTACAAGCATATTAGTTTCCTCATTCCAAGACACAAACTTTTCGTTCATTCCAACCTTAATTCATTTTTTTTTTCTTTAATTTATCCTAATCAACCACAATTAGGTGGCACTTATCATTGCTTTTATATTTTTATTTATCAATCTTAAAAGATAAAACATAGGACGAAATAAAATAATATTGGTAGCAACTTTTTTTTTTTTTTTTTTTTTTTTTTTTTTTTTTTTGTGGCCAGGGATATCCAGACCAGATTGTGCACACCTATTAGTGTTTAGGGAAACTTAAACTCAGAAACTTATGTTAGACCCTTTTACTCTTTTACCATCGAGTCATTTAGTGATGGTTAATGAAAACAACCTGAGTAACCGAAAACAAAAAATATTATAGTAGCATGTAATATAATACGGTAATATTTAATACTTTTACGATCTTACCTGTGAAATTATTGTTGCAACAATCAATCATTAGTTCTTTGTATGAGTTTTTGTAAGGATAGTATTTTTCAAAGAATAATGGGTATTTTTTTTTTCAAATTTAAATATTATAAATGAATGTCACACTAGCCGTTTTCCATGTGTGATCTTTGAATGAGATCTATAATTCATAAATAAATTTAAAAAAAGAAGAAAAGGGAAAGAGAGAAAGAGAAATACAAGTCCATAAATAAAAGTAGTAGTTGTATTCTTTTAAGGGGGGTGTGATTTATGCACTAAAGTATTCAAAATGTAGTAGTGACTTTACAAAGGCATTACAGCTTTTCTCTTTTAATGCAATGTAGACAGACAAGTTTCCATAACACAAAGCCTTTTCTAATAAAAGCCGATTGGCATGGAGACAAAGTTTCTATGAGATCACTTTCTCCTTTAACCCTCTCTTTTCTTTTCTTATCATTTCTCAATTTTTTTCCCATCAAAGTAAGGGACTTCTCGGATCTCTAACTCTCAATTATCACTCTATAATTGAATCCCTTCTAAAACATCGCCTTTGGATCCTTCAAAAACATCCCTTTCAATTTTCCCATTTAACTTTTCTGGGAATCGAAAACTTCATATCAACCATTGGATTAATACTTGTAAATGGTATCTACCAATTTGATAATATTATCAGATTGATATTACATAACATAATATGTGTTTGAAACAAAGAGAATAATTTGACATGATACAAACAATAAGACCAATACTTATAAATGTTGGTATAAGAAAGGACATCAAATAGTTTGGTAATATTATCATATTGATATTATATAACATAGTATGCGTTTGAAACAGAGAGAGAAAGGGAGATATGGTTTAAAGTTTAGGGTTTTTTTTTTTTTTTTTTTTTGGTTAACCCTCAATGATTTGATATGAACTGTTGGATTAATAATGGTAAATATCGATATCAACTGTTAAATTGTATATGAAACAACAATCGACAAGTTTAATAAGATTATCATATTAATATTATTTAGCGTTAATGTAATATAATATGGGTGTGAAAGAGAGAGAAAAGAGAGTAGGTATAGGTGTGAAATTGTATTTAAGAAAATAGAGAATTGGAAAGAGCAGTCAAAAAAGTGGAGCTGGGCATGAGAATAAATAAACTAGAATGTTTGGATGAGATTTTCTAAGTGATATGATGTTGCTTTCAATGATTGTTTGGTCATTGTCTTCAAGCATTTTGGTGATAACTTTATAATTTCAAGTGCCCACACCACTTTAAACCTTAAAACTCAGTGACTTGGTCAAGTTTTGTTAGAAACAATAACAGAATATACTTCTATTCTTTTAAATGGAATATGTATTAGTTTCCATTCTCAAGTTATTGAACTATAACCTATCAGTTAAATCTAGTTGTTTTGTATTAGTTTCTTTTCAAAAATAACGTCGTTGCTTTCTTTCTTCAAGAATAGTGTAGTTTTTCTGCAGCACCCACGCCGTTTGTTTCTTCAAGAATAATGAACATTTCAAATAACAAATCAAAAAGCTTCACGCTGCAATTGCAGTCATTATATTATCTCAGTCTGAAAGTATTTGCACAATTTAGAAGAAGGGAAAGCAGGTTCATTCTGCAAAATGGCCACCATGACATATTGCCCCAAAAAGAAAAAGTTAATTCATTTGGGAAGATTACAAACATATACACATGTAAAAACGAAGACTTGGCACTAAATGATTACACACCATATTGTATACTACCTTGAAATGCTAATTATTGTCCAAATTTCTGATACCAAGAGAATCCAGAGCCGAGCTCGATGGAAATCTGGAGGATATATAATATTTCTGTCTTAGTTTTTGAGAAGAACTTAGCTGGATGGATCTTTTCCGAACCCCATCATAGCATGAGTTGCTAGCATTGAACCTCTGCGAATCATTTCCAATATATGGCCAACCAACGGCAGCTTAAACGTTTCTCTATTTCGGAGAGGCTTCTTGTCCCACCTACAAAGATTTTATGCATAATGTTAATAAAGAAAGCAAGCCAATGATGTATGCAATGTAGGCCAATCAGTATAAAATAAATTTCTATAAATTGAACAGTTTCTAATCATGGGCAACTTGGCTTCATTGTTTCATGATTTATTTGAGTCCATCAGTAGATTAATGATTTAATATAGAGCTTCCAGAAACATAATATTTTATATTCATTCTGCACAGAACACAGGGGAAGTGAATTGAACTAAGATACCTGTTCCTTCACTAAATAAGATCACAGATGTATATTTAATTTGTAGTTAAAGAGATATTATAAGAAAATTGTGGTCCAGTCTTTTATCAAATCAATATATATTGAGGATCGAATGAAACAGAAAAAGCATTTGACAGCTTTGAGTGCATACCAATCTTCATGTCGAACGATTTTTCCATCCTCTACATGCAGCTTAATAAGTGAGATCATATCTATGTTTCTCCCCAAAAACTTGTAATGTTGCTTATTGTCGATTAGTATCTGAATAAAACATATAGCATTTCAAATTTCTACGTCAAGGACCGATGGAAACAGGAAAGAAGGAAAGTAAAATAATAGCAAAGCAAACATTTCAAACCTCTAGCTTCTGAGGTGAAATAACGTTTTCTTTGACACTGTATTCAGTAATTTTTGACTCACTAAAAACCTGAAAATGTTGCACAAAAGAAAGGTTAAAAAAAGGTTGTCATTACGTGGATTAGCAAAACTGTTAAAACATCACCAACTAATTTCCCAAATAAAGTGTTTCCACTGAAGATATATTTGTATTTTAACAAGTTAAGGAATTTAGACAAAAAAACATGGAATTATGCTCAGAAGTAAAGAGAAAACTAAGCTGGACAACTACAAGAAAATTATATAATTTAAGATCATTGAGATGTCATGTTGTGAATATTAATTTATTAAATAAATGGTGACAAAGCAACAGACCACATTGATTTTCACACTATTAGATGAATGATGACAGAGATACAGAGTCATAGACATGGACGCAATGTGAATTTCTTCCAAGAACCAATCTAAAACATACTTGGACTTCCAGAACCTATTTCAAGCAACCTATTATTCTAGCACCATATAAAAAAAAAAAAAGACACTGTGAAACACCATTGATGCTTTTTATCTGTTGTCAATAAATTACATGGAAATTTTAAGAAAAGCATAAAATCACCGATCACGTTGCATCTATGTCCTGGACTTGAGTACAAAATATGGAAAATTGGGGGGAAAAATTAGAAAGAAGCAATTGAGCCTGTTCCAAACCAAATTAGAGTAATCTTAACACGATTTCATTTCTTTCCAAGCTTTTTATAGATACAGAAAAAATTATTCCAGCCATTAGCATTGTTTCACAAGACTGATAGTGCCCTTAAAGTTTTAAATAAGGGCATCAAGCAATTGATTTATAAGATGAAAGAAAATTATAACCTTGGAAAGCGAATAGAATGCTGATTTGATCTGGGGCACCCTGCAGAGTTAATAAAAAAACTTGCATGAGACAAAACGAAAAAAAAAAAAAATCCGTTCTGACATTGATAAGGTAAAACAACATAACAGAGAAGAAGGAATGATCCTGGATTTTTTATGATCACATCCATGATTGTTGAGACCGCGCCCAAGGGTTTATTTATTGCTTAAAACTATTACAATGATCCTCTAAAAAATAACATAAAGCCTCTATCCAGAAAATGAATTGCATATTCCAACATATTTATCCCAAATTTTACAATCAATAGCTTCCCAAAATCTCCAGCAGAATGGGATGCAGCCTCATCAATTACCAAAGACTCATCTTCTTGATTTCAATTGCAAATGTAAAAACGATGTAATATATAAAAAAAAAAAAGAAGTAATATTTGAAACTGAGAATAAAAGGTATTAAATCATCCAGATTGAACAACAATGTAAAGTTTCTACTTCAGTACATACATACCCCTGAGCACACATAAGCGGGTCCTCAAAGGAAGCACCCGGAGCATAGATTTCAAAGTCACGAGCGGTGGCACAAGATCCATATCTGATTACAAAACAATCAACACAAAAATTGAACTATTCAAATGAAAAACAATATGACATGAAATCCTAACACTTCTAATCCCGCCTCTCCTTTTAAAACAACTGATTGTATTTACTCTATTTCTCCCGTTGTCACATTGCAGAACAACATATCCGCCATCATATTAGCTTGGTTCATTATCTATCAGAAGGATCAATGATCGAATATACAAATTATCCTGGAAAAACTCATATAGTTTATAAATTTGTTAAGTAAGAATAAGCAAGAAACTCACAACTTAAGAAGGTGAGGGATAATATGAGAAGCGTGCTTCACTGAAGTATAATCGCACGCTCCTTTGGCGCAACTTTCCCTCGTCTCATCCACTGTACTCTCCTTACTATCTACAATCACAAACACTCGCCACCATTACTTTTCAACGAACAACAATCAAATTATAACACAAACAAAAATTATACGCACGCATTGCAAACCTTGGGAATGGTTCCGTGAGTCCATGGCGAAGTTTCTTGTTGGGATGATTTGTTGGTAGAAGGCCTGATGAAGAAGAAGTCGACGAGAAGGAAATAAAGAACGAAGCTGGAGAGGGAAACTCATGGCTTCATGGCAAGCCACTTGGCATTTCGCTGTCCATTTGGTTTTGTTTTGTCTACGAGCCGCCTGCCAGCAGTTGAAAATTTCTTAAGCGTCCATTTCAGAGAAAGTTTAGGCTGCTGGAATTCAAACGGGCTTAACAGGCCCGATCCAGCATGGTTTCAAGGAGGATGTGTTTGGTTGTCCGTAATTGTGTGCACGGAAATTGGGCCAAACATGGGATTAAAAGAAATTATTCTATACACTTCATTTGTCCAACGAAACAAACGCGTCAGTATAACACATTTTAAGTGGCGAGGTTTGATCGTACTCACAGTATATTGAGAAATTGCATAAAATTGATAACCAAAATAAGAAATATTGAGATTTAATATTCAAATAGGTTGAAGGGAAAAATGCTGGAGAAAATTTGATGGAAATAAGGACTTCATCTATGGAGCAAGTGATTAGCTATAAAAGAAATGGTGTAACTACTATTAATATGAACAATATGAACTGCCCTCATATTGAAAAACCAGGCAGCTCATACAATTGTTTTCTCTACATACAGTAAAAATGGATGATGATGATGATGATGGTAAAGTTTGTACCAAAGTAAAAAACTATCTAAACCAAGGTATACAACGAATGTCACTTCTTGTTTCATCCAAAATTAGGGGAAACGAAGTAATCGGATCAATGAGACAAAGTAGTCAGCGAAGCAGTCAAATCGGTAGAGAGAATTAGGATCTAGGGTTTTTTTCTATTCGATTTTAGTGAAATGGGAATATGGGATGTGTTTGTCACTTTTACATGTTTTAGAATACAAAATGGTAAATTCATAGACCCTAATAGTTGCAAAACTTGTATATATCCCCTAACAAGTTCGAGTTATTGTGGGGCTCAAACTCGCCTCGACTCAACACGCGAGCCGCTCAAGCCAAGTCTGAGTAGGTCACGAGCCGCTCGACTCAACTAGCAGCCCTAAGTGAAACTAAGACCTAATTAAGTTTAAATTAGAGAAAAATAAACCTAATTAAGCTTAAAGGGCTACTTTCGGTATTAAATACGGTTTATAGAGAATTGTTTTTAATTATAGAAGTGTATACAAAAATAGGAAATACTACTTTGTAAATTGCATTATGGTTAACTTCTGGAATGACACTGAATTAAACATTAGTATTTTTTTTCTTTATTTTTTTGTAACGCAAATAAAACTCCTTTACACCTCTCCCAGTAATCAATCAATTGAAGTTCAATTATCAATAAATCTGATCAAATATTTACTACTAAAAATTATTCACACCATCAGAATAACCTTAAAAAAATACATGAATGAAACTGTAAAAACTCTACAAGGAAAAGCATTGATGTTCTTTCTTGTAAACCAACAACACACTGCAACTAAAATAAGATAATTGTGCAATTCTGTGGATGAGCAAAAATGACTCTTATTCATCATTCACCATAATATCCAATATACACCATCATATATTTTCTTTCCATTTTCCGTCTTTTTTATTTTCTTTCCATCGCCTTGCAAACTCAATGCCACCTAAGATTTGATATTGTACCGTTGTTTTCATCATCGAAAAATGAAAGGGCGGCCGAATCTACCTCCGGGGTTCATTCAAGGTCTTCCCTTCAAAAAATTCACCCAACATTCGTTCCAAATCCTCCGCCGAGTACCTAATGTACTTCTGTGGGTTCTTCCCATTCTCAACTAGAGTCCTGTACAAATGGAAATCCCAGATATAAGATTATCACATGTAGATGCTAGATTAGAAGATTTTGTTCATGCAGCCGCTAAAGTGAGTTTTCTATGAAATTCATATTTTCTCAGCCCAATGTTGGATCTTGTTTTTACTCTATAAAACCAAGCGCAAAACTTTTCGTGGATTGAATGACATGAGCTATCCAATCAATAAAACTCACTCTCTGTATATAAAAAAAGTTTTTAAGCTTGACTTGAAACAATACAATGAAATAACTCCAAAATCCCCAATTAATTTGAATTTTGGCATGCACAATGGGTGATGTATTTTTTTTTTTTTTGGATATGTTTGTGTGCCATCTGTTCATTTATGAGTTGTAAGAGAGCAAGTTACGAATAGGAAAAGGAAACACACCCAAAACGCTTAACAAAAGATCTGTAGGCAGGTAATAAGACTTCAGCAACTGCAAGCCGCAGAGATTCCCGCAACTCTGTGTCAGGAACAGTCCACTGAGATTGTTTTTGATGAAGCTCCTCGAATTGTATATTAAACGTCCTGAGCCTGTCAATCATTATCAGAAGAGTTATGACAAGTGTAATTGATGTAGGAAGAGTAGGATTAGTTCAAGTTTATTTTAGTTCTTCTGCTCCTCTATTAATCTATTTTACATCTATCTGATTCTCTTTCTCCTCCTCTATCAATTGGTATCAGAGCAAGTTCTGATGCAAATTCTGATCTAATTATAATTTGCTAAAAAATTCCGCTTCCGCATCAAAACCCGATACATAAAGAAATCCTGATCGTCATACAAAAAAAAACTTTTTCCATGAACCCAAATTGCCAGAAAAATCAGAAGATTAGGGTTTACGACAATTTGATTTTTTATGGATGAAAATTACAATTTCTTTTATGTGTTTAAGATTTAGATGTGGAAGCAGAAATTTGAAGCAAATTAAAAACATATCAAAACTTGCTTTGAGACCAATTCATAGAAGAAGCAGATAAGAATCAGATAGATTATAGAAAATTAGGGAGAAACTAGACGCACAGATTAGGAAGAATAGCAAGAATCTAGAAAAAATCAAACAATAAGAAAAACAAAAGACAATCCCTAGAGAGAAAAATCCTAAAATCTTATTGCATAAAAATGGACCACAGAACCCCTGATTTATAAGCTTAAGAAATAGAATACTAACCCCTTATTTATAAGCTTAAGAAATAGAATACTAAGCCTAATCAAACAAGAAATTGTAACTAAAACAACACATAAACGAAATAAAACTCTAAAAATACGTTGATAAATAAACCCTAAGAAAATTAAAATAAAGACTGAAATAAACTTAAAAGTAATCCGCCTATTCCTACATCAGTAATGAATGGATAAAAGACAGAATTATTATTAGAATTTAGAAGAAAAAGTGTTTCAAGAAGGATGCAGATATCAACCTGTCTTTAACCAATTGTCTTGAAACTCCACTACTATTTCCTGATACATCACCAGCCACTGAACTACCACCACCAGATGACGTCAACCCTTGAACAGAAAGACATTGCAGAATCTGCAGAGGAGAAAAGAATCCATATCTAATTAGAAAAAATGGGCTTCTTAGCAGGCTATTTATTCACTTTAAAGGGAAAGAACCGATAATGTCATTAAATAAACAGGAGGTTATCTCCACAAGGCTATTAACAGTTCTTGATATCATAATTTCCAAATGGTAAACTCAAATAGCCTGTTAGAAGAAAAGGAGGGAAATGGGAGAGGCTGAGCTGACAGCAACCAGTCAACAGAGTATCAGAATATGTCATAAGAGGATATTGCATGATAAACACAGTTTCTATATCATTACAAGCAATTCAGCACCATAGAGTAATTATTCAGTTCAGCTTTTCTTTTCCTCAAGTGTACCAATCTTTTCCTGGTTTTTAGTTACCATCTAGCTGGGTTAACAAAATGAATCACAAATAAAAACTTACATCTACAAATTCTGCTAATAATATCCTTGACCACCAATAATATTTGCTCAAGACTTTCCAACAAAAAAAATTAATTTTAATGCATATCCTCTTCTGATTATCACACCAAAACTTCCACTTAATGCATGTTTGCACAAGTAAATGCAGAGTGCAAGTCCTTTCATATAAAATTGATCATGCAACTCAAGAAAGAATCTCGTAAGACAGCACGAAACTAACCCATTCAACTACCCAAAGTAACAAAATAAGATTTTCCAGGATTCTCTACAGGAGGTGTCATTCAATTGGGTCAATAAATTACCTTTTGCCAAGCATTTCTTTTGTATTGATTTGCATGCTGCTGCACAATCCTCCTGTGTCTTTGCACCCAATCATCACCCAACAGATCCTTGGCTTCAGACCTTAAAATAGAATGTTCACACATTAAGCTACAGTACTCATGCAAGACAAACATTTTAAAGCTTAATAAAAGTAGAGAAAAATGAACATGACAAACCTGCGGACAGATCTGACCATATAGTGAATATTGTTCATCAGAAATAAGTGTGTCAAAGCAGGATCTCTATACTGCTTTGATTTCCCATCCAAATTAGTTTGAAGAGCCTGCATTATTCGCATTGTTACAGTAGCTAATTGTGAACCTGTCCCGTCGCCATTTTCAAATTCTTGGAAAAGTTGCTTCAAAGTCGATTGGTAGCTGTTAAAGTATAATGCAGAATTGCCAGTTCAATCAATGACAAATATGGAAAAAAAAATAAAAATAAAGCTACAAAACTGAAATATTTCACTTTTGTGTATAGAATTCTAGTGTAGGTGGAATCTCACAAACTTGTCCCTAAGGGAATACTAACCTGGTTGCTTATATTTCTTATAGTGGAACAAGAAGCATATGGATCAAATTCCAAATACTCCTCATAACAAGGAGAGGGATCCACTTAATTTGTATTGTGCATACGGAAGGGTGGGTAGTTAAAAATGTAAAAAGAAATCTCACTAACTTAAGTAATGACTTCATATGTGAATTCATAGATAAAACTCTTTTACCCCTTAACTGGCTATTTTTTTTTTTTAAAAAAAAAAAAAGGATTAACAGAAAGAAATCACACAAACTTAAATGAAGATTTAATATGTGAATTTTTGAATAATCATAGATAAAAGTCTTTTTCCCCTTAATTGGCTGCCTTTAAAAAACAAACAAAAAAGGGATTAAAACAAGATACATAGACTTGTACTAATGACAGTAGAAACAAGTAATCCCAAAGAGGGTTTGGTAAATTCAACTGACGCAATAAAGAAATTTTTGATATTGCAGTGTGAAACAGGCCAAGTTGACCCAAAATGTTTGTGACAAGTCCATTGATCAAAATTCGGCCTTTTATATGAGGCGCCTGTTAGAATTTAAATATTATGAAGTAGGGCCTTTCTTATAATCTTTTAGGATTTACTCAACATTTACTTTAGAACAGAAATTGGGTCACTGACATGTGCCACATATCATGAAGCAAAAGTCCATATTAGGATACTAAAAACTAATTAATATAATGTTTATATCGGTAAGCATTTGATAGCAGATTATGACTAAATAATAAAAAGAAAAAAAAAAAGTACAGTTGCACTTACTCAAACAAAAACTTCACATAGTTAATGACGTAGCTTGTCAAAGGATGTACAGTTCCATCCAACACAGCAGTTTTTGTCGCATCCTTTTCAACAGCTTCTTCAAAATCACCGAAGGTCTCTTGAGCTGTCTGGGCAAGCCGTTTTGTCAAACTAAATGCAGATTCTCTAATTTCAGTGCAAGCTTTACCTTTGAAAACCAACTCAATCTGGCAACAGAAAGACCATCTTTCAAGTTAATTACAAAAAAGTAGCACCATTTAATTATGATAACTATTTTCCAGAACATGCAGAACGAACCAATAGACTTGATGGTAACTCAGGCATCAGCCTAAGCATCTAAAAAGAAACCTAGGTCAAATGTCAGATACATTGTATTGCTTGTTACACATAATCTTGTAATGAAAATTTATAAGTATTGTCATCAGGCACGGATTAAATGACAGAAGACCCAAAAATAGTAAAAATTTAAAACTTAGTACAATTTTTTTTCTGAAATCGTCTGAAGAAACAATACTTTAGCACACAATTTGAAAGCTCATGAGTGAATAAAATTATGACCATAACAAATTTATATCAAAATCAATATTGCCATTAAAGGATCACTTAGCATCCTTGAACCATCACGAATGTCACCAAATGGTTTGTACCATAAACTCAATAATAGACTGAGTGATTTCATGAGCAATAGATTAGTTGTTTTATCTGATATTTAATTTCAATAAGAGCAAGAGAGAGAAAGAGAGAAATTTATAAACATTTAATTCCTATGTTAGCTAAAATACAGATTGATATGGTAAAAGGTGGGAACAGGAATGTGGTATGATGGGGTAAGGCTTTCTCATTTTAGAAAACTTAAAAACAAAAATCGCTTACAAATGTTTACACAGCACACACATTCCTTTCAGTTTCAAATTATGAGATTATAACATATCTAATTTGAAGTGTCATTATATTATGATAACCCAAACACAAGATCTCTAGTCAAATGGGCTATGCTACATGTTGAGAAACCATTGATCCAAATATATTTAAGCTAATATAAAATGATGTCACTATAACATTTAAACTTCTATGATAGTGGAATGTAAAAACAAGTTTTTCTAATGTTTTAAATCAGTAATTTGTCACAACAAACCAAAAAATCATAGACTATCAACCTGACATCTATCCATATATGCAAATAATAATACCATTATTAATATAAACATATAATAAGTGAAAAAAAGAAAAAAAAAAAATCAAAGATCTCAGCTGCTACTGATACCAAGATACCTAATTTTGGCATCTCCAAAGAAACCATTGTGTCAATAAGGTTTTCAGCTATTGCATGTCAAATAAACATGTTAGCCATACCTCTGAGTGAAGCTCTCGCATTATCTCATACATATCCAAAAGTACAAATAACTTTTCAGGTGATCTCTTGCTTTTGGCAATTGCCTCCCCAAAGCTAAGAAGAACTAACACACTACTTGTGGTAACTTCAGCAAAACATTGATCACTGACAGAATCAAAGCCTTCAAATATCTGATCACAAACTTTACGTTCTCCAGCAAACAGTAATTTGACCTGTTCAAACATGATTAGTTACTGGGACTAACAGACATACAAGTATTTGAGAATCTTCCATAAAGATCTTACAGCAATACGCATGTAATGGATCCAGTTCCCAATCTTTGCCTCCAGCACTTCCCATTGCATCTTCTGAACATCTTCTTTGCCAAGTCTTTCAACTCCTAACTTGCGGAGACTTTCTTCCAAAACTGAAGAACGGGTATCCCTGAAATATGTGTATGTATATATATGAATGATAAACTTGTTGAAATACATAATATACATGTGTGAGGGATATGGATGTATAAGAATATATCAAGTAGGTTGATGGTACACAGACAACTATAAAATAAAAGATCACCTAACATAACTCTTTCTTTTAACAATTAAGTCTCATAAATGATAGGTTAATCCTCTAAATGATCCAAAGAGAACAGAAAAATGCTGAAATTGGAAGTCGAGAGCAGATTTAATCCAAAAGATAACTACACTTCCAAATTCCATGAATGAAAATTTAATTCACCCGCATAAAAGTTTTTAGGAGAGCTTTATGGAACTACTAATAATTATAGAGCAAGAAATATCCCAATCTTTGCAATCACATCCTTGAACAGAACGACTGGTTTCCTTTCTAGATATTGGTTGTCTTTATTCTTTTTTAGGTATCATGCATCATTAACAGATGCTTCAATTTTTGGCATTGTAGTCTCTCCAGGAACACAAGGGGCAGCACATAATTGGTTCGGAAAAGGACAACAGCAAGGCAAGCTCTCCAGCTTGAACCCAACTCACAGCTGAATCCAGATGGCAAAACTTACTTTTCAGGCTCAATTCATTACTCTCTCCAGAAAATATTTTTGAATGCATTACCAAATAGATCAGAAAGCATCATCAGTAATACTTATCATGGAATAGTGCCTTTCCTGTCCAATAGGCCACATGGCACAATGATAGTTTGGCAGGTGATATTAGATGTTTGAGACCTTCAGGAATAGGTGGCCCTAAATTCAGAGGCCAATCAATATACAGACACAACACAACTCAGTACACCGAATACAATTCAATATTACAATTTTCTGCAGTTTGTAAACCTAAATTTATTGATAATTGCATGTAAGAAAAATAGCTAGTGTGTGTGTGTGTGTTGATTTGGGGGGGGAGATTGGGTGTTCCATTTGTTTCTTTAGAAACAGTCAAAGGGGTCTAAGGACTACGGATGAAGCCTCTTACCTGTAAATTTTGAGTAATTGCTGCTGATGGCCAGCTTGAACCATTTGCAGGGCTAAATCATGCAGTAGCGGCAGAATCCTCGGTGGTATGAGAGCGGGTGGTGTAAAAGTAGCAGTTTCTAAGTCACTGTTGTCAGAGTGATTATGTGAAGGACTCTTGTGATGAGCTTCACCATGGTGTCCAGGGGAACCTGATGAGGGTCGCATTGAATTTGGAAGGCATTCAAAAAGACGATCAGGCTCCAAAGGTTTGCTGAAATGCCAAAAGGAGAAAAGGAAAAGGGATTACAACGAAAGCATCTTTGAATATGGAAACAAGCTGCAGTATCAGTTCATTAGAAAACCTAAATATCTAATCCATCAAGATCACTGACTGAGACTATTTGACACACAATCATAATGCTTATGGAATGCAAATAAAATAGAAAAAAATCTATTCTCCAAATAACCAAGAAAAAGATTTCAGGAAACTGCTCTAGAAAAAGCTCGGTTTTATCCCAATTGTGGGAGAAAAGGTGAAACCTTATAATAATTACAAGGCATATTAAGCAATTAACAGGTAACACCTCCAAACAACTGTTAAGCAGAAGAAAGGCAGAAAAACTCAGTACTAAAACTACTAATTAGTGCTTTAAAAATAAAAAAATAAAAAACTCAACTGATTGCATTTTCTAATCATTGTTGGGGATATAACTAAATAAATGGTCTGCATATATTATAGAAATGGACATGTAAAACATAAGGATACTGTAAACCAAGGAAGCTTTTTCCCCATATGCATATTATAGTCTAGCAACTACTAATGACATATCTTGCAACTGCAATCAGCTCATTTCCAAACTTAAGAGCATAGGAGCATTAGATAGTTGTAAAGGATTGGTCCTACAGCCACAAACCTGTATGAAGCTAATAACTGTTTAAACTCATCTTCTAGCTTTGAAATGGCCTTAACAAGTAAAGTATTTGCATTGTTGACCACCCCTTCGCTACTTTTAAAGCTCTTTTTGCCACTAAAAAAACTAATGTTGCTTCTTAGCTGATCAATTGCTGCTAGATAACTTTCCAGGTCCTCATGTGGCCCCCTAAGTATTTTAGCTTCTGCCTATAAACCAGAACAACAAATTGTTAACAGCCATGAAAAAATCATACACATAGATAATGAGGATAAAAGACATAACATCAGGTAAAGGTCTTGATACCTTGAAACCTGAATGGAAAAGAACAGAGTTAAATAATTTTTGAGGAAATTTATGGATGCTGAATAATTAAGGAAACTGCAACTTAAAATAAGGTCATTTTTCATATTAACCCTTCTGGATAGAATTCTAAATAAAACCATAAGGGTCTTCAGGATTAAATAATTGTACCAACTATAGTATCTCTATAACTTTATAGAATTGTATTATAAATCTTACTTTGAAAAACTATATAATGACATGAAAGCTCCTGCTCCCCCTAAAATTGAAGTCTACAGTTTGAATTCTAGTTTTGGAAAGTTCAGTGGAGTAGAAGTTACTCAAATAAGGTAATCAGCAACAAATTTGTCCCATTCATAAGATTGACAGAAAGGATGAAGAGAAAGAAGGTCATCTCTCCCTCCAATGCACAATGACTTCATTCTTCTGGTTAAGAAGCTTGCAAAGAAGCCAACTTCCGGTGACTATTCCAAGATCTGATATTCCCTCTACCACAACATTTTTTGAGTGTTGGTAAAGGAAAGAAGGCCAAGAACCTTCAATGTAAGTCCTAGCTTTCTCGGCTCATTGGCATGAAAAAATATGCGATTCTTGAAGATGCAAAGCAAAATTCTAGAGTGATGAGGGACAAAGTGCCTTTTTTTTGCTTCAATGTGGGCCTTGGCTTCAAAGACCCCAAAGGCAATTCACTTTTCTTTATTCATCTCAACTAGAATGGGGTCTTGACCAATTTAGACTTAGTTTTGTTCAAGTTCATGAAATTATTTTCATTGTAATCTTCTGCCACACAATTTTTTTATAACTTTTTCTATTGTTTTTGTTCCTTCTCAAGAGATGATCTAACCATCTACTCGTTTTAGGGTTGTATGAACTCCAGTTCTCTTTATTCCTCCTCTCATATATTGTCAACCCCTCACATCTTCTATCAAACAGAGGTTTCTTTCATATTCCTTTTGAGATTTTTAATTTTTAAGGAATTGGAATAATATGGCGATTGCCAAATTTCCTTCCTATTATCTTTTGCTTTAAATATCTCACTGAATAGGGCACGGATTGTAGATTGTGAACTAGACTGTTCAGGGAGGTTTTCTTGTTTAAATAACTCGCATTCTCTTAATTTGCCAGCATGGGTGATATCGCAGGCCAAAGTCTTGATTATGTTCAGTTTTCTGCTGGGCAGTTATGGACACCATAACACTGGATATGGTAAAACTGACCTCAATCTAAAAGCCAAATTAACAACCATATAACTAATGTTCAGCCAAACATCAAACTACCATTATAAACAATCTAAGAGATCTAAGTTGAAATTAAAAATCACAGTAAGTTGAAACCAACCTGACGAGAAAGATCAAATTGAGCCAAAATAACCTCTGCAGCCTTCAAAGTCTTTCAATATTCATGAGCCTTTCTGATTGCATGTGTTCTAATCTGAAAATCAAAATAAAATAAAAAAAAAAGATCTAAACAACAAATCTTGTTCTACAAAATCAAGAAACCAAAAAACACTTCAACAAAACAAATCTCCCAAATGGACCTGACCCGATCCGATCCAAAAGTTAACTAAACCACATCAATAACAATTTTCCTTACTGGCAAACAACTCTAAACTTCAAAAACAAAAATAGATCGTTCATTTCCTCAAAACTTTCCCGTGAACCAAACACAAAAAAAAAATAATAATAATAATATAAAATAACTGAGTGGGACGCATGGCGGTTTCAAGAGGGAGAGGCGGTGGTCAAAAGAGCCAAGAATGGAGACAACGTTATCAGTAATCATTTGGGATTTCTGCAAAGACTCTCTCATTCTGGCGGCTTTTTCATCAAGAAAGAGACTCCATGCGGTAACTCACCCACCACCATTTTCTTCGTTGTTTCTGCTTCTGCGATGGGAAATGGGTGGTTTGATTATTGGATTATTTGAAAAGGAAGAGGATTGGTGAAGATGGGGGTAAGTGAAAGAGTTTTGACAATTTGCAGAGATATAGGGGGTGTCTTTTGAATTGATTTGACAATGCTTCGTTGAGTTAGGAGTCCTCCAAACTGTTTCTCTTTTGGTCAATTCAATTTTTTTTTTCTTTTCTTTTCTTTCTACTTTACCTTTTAGGAAATGTTATGTAATTGTAATTAATTAAAGTTTTAACTAATTTTAGAATTTAGATTAATATGTTTCTATTATTAAGATATATTTTAATTTGGTCATATTTAAGTGTTAACATATATAACTTATAAATATTATTATTCTTGATAATAGCATCAGAAATGCTAACACTGACATCAAAACTCTGTTATATAAGATTTACAACTAAACACAATAAAAATATTTAAGAGTAAAGACGTATTCCCACCGAGGTTAGCGGAATCCTACGTGAAACCTGGTTTCAAAAATTCTAATTCCACCTATAAATGGACACCGTTACTTTTCTTTTTAACAATTAAAGACTAAAATGTCATTTTGCCAATCTGCATTTTTGCGAACTTCATTTTCTCGACCAGTTTTGGACGTTTTTGTCATTAGAAATCAAGCGCCACCACCATTCGATCCTCATATCTCCTCTTTAAAACCATATCAATCGCTGCCTGATCATCACTGTTGTCAAAAAAGCCCATTTTTTTCCGCAAACAACCACTTTACAACCACTTTTCCAACCGTTTGTCAACCAAAATCTTCACACCACCACCATTAAACCCCTTCTATCTGCTTAAATGGTCTTTTTGCCAACCTACATTTTTGCTGACTTCCATCTTCTCGACCAGTTTCGAGCATTTATGTCATCAGAAATCTAAGCCGCCCCCACCATTCAACCCTCATCATCTCCTCTAAAACCCATACATCTGTCACCTGATCAGCACCGTTTGTCGGAAAGCCCATTGCTTTTTCTCGCAAACAACCACTTTGCAACACTTTTTCGACCGTTTTGTCAACCGAGAATCTTCATCGCCACCACCATTTAAACCCCTTCTATTACTTTATAAAACCTTGCCTTTGCCCACTTGCTCATCTATTGTCAATTACGACTGCCCTTTCTGCTAAGGACGGTTGCTTTTTGCGACTTTTTGATCGATTTTTTCGCAACCACGGTTCAACCAGTTTGGCATTCCAGCACCGTTGTTTTGATTAGTTGTTTTGGTGAGGACGGTCGCGGTTACAAAGGTGATCTTAGTAATTGGGTGTTCGTTGAGGCAAAATTTCAAAACACCTGGTGTGCACAGAAAGAGGGATGGTAAGTTACCGCAGGGAAATCGCAGAAAAAAACATCTAAACATAAACACTCAAAACAATCACCAACTCCAAAGACAAACAATACACCCAATCAACTCTATAAAAACCTCCAATTTAAACCCAAATTCACAAAAAAAAAAATAACAAAAAAAAACCCGCAAGAAACCCTAGAGGAGGTTACCGGTGATCGAGAGCTAACACTATCTGGGTTATTCGGGCTTTTGAAGAGGACAAGCTAGTGAGTCTACGGGTGGTGAGAGGGTAGATTTTGGAGTAAAAAAACTACTAGAATTAGGCCTGATAGTTTGTGACTACGCAAACAAAAAAATTGCGGTGGTCAATGAACGGTAGCAGTATGCGGTTGGAGATGAGAGGGGTTTTGGAGAGGTAAATGAGAGGATCCTGATGCTAGTGTTGGATTGGCAATTGGTGTCGAAATCAGGCCAATCCGGGCCTTAATGGCAGTCGAGTGGGCTTGGTGGGTGGTGTTTGGATGGTAATGGCGATGGTGATGATGGTTGGGTGGGGTGAATTCAGAAGTCAAGGGCAGTGTGGTAATAGCACAAGTCAAAATTCGTTAACAGTGTTAGTTTAAAGGTGGCAATTTGTAATAAATGCAACCAAGGGTATGAACTTTGGATTTCGCTAAACCTAGGATGGGAACATGTCGTTTGCCCTTTATTTAATTTTGTGGAAGCCACTTGGTCTCGGTTATGATATTCAATAATATGAATATATTTATACGAAGGTCCATAATTAATTATATTATTATCGTTTGGAGAAGAACTTAATTTGACTTTAGCAAATTATTTTTATTAAATCATTTCCTACTTAGAGCATCTCCAAATGACTCTTTATATGACTTAAACTCTTTATTATAAAGAGTTTATCCATAGAAACAAGAGTCCAATAAACTCTTTATTCTTTAAATATAAATTAAAGAGTGAGATTGACTCTCTCATTTAGAGAGTTAAATTTCACTCTCTATCCTAATTTTAAATAATAAATTGTAAGTTTCTATGCATTTTATTTATGATTTATCTTTCCTATTAAGTTTCTTTTTTTTAAAAACATATTTTCCTCCTAAAATTTAAAGAGTCTATTGGATTTGAATAAAAAATTTGTTTTTTATATTTAAAAATCAATGAAGATGCTATTTATTTATATAAAATATGCTTTTTAAAATAAAGAACACCATTGGAGATGCTCTTAGTCCAACAAATCATTTCCCTACAATTCCTACAGGTTTCTCTTATTGAAAACTTATTATGGGTTATGTTGCTCTACTTTGTAAATAAATAAATAAATAAATGAATTAAATTGAAAAAGTCGACTTGATTTCTAATTCAAGTATATTAGTTCGGTTCTAGATCCATGTCATCAAACCTATTACAATTCTACAAATGCAATATTCAAAATGATCGTGGTTCAATAAAAACTCCTGGGAGTATTACTCGAGAGGTTTTGAGTTCGAGTATTTCTTTTGGTCTTAATAGAGATAGTTATTGGAGCTTTTACTCAGCTGATAGTTTCAAGGTTCAAAGGGATTAGTTGAGTTGCGTATAAATTGACTTGAAACTCCGTTGTAAACAAAAAAAAAAAAATTTATTTATTAATTTATTTCATATTCTCCTATAACGGAGAAGTTAATTCAGGAACAAGGGTCTGGTTTTTTAGTAAG